AAAAAAAACCAAAAAAACAAAAAAACAAAAACCAACACATTTCTGTAAACTAGTTCTCATAGTAGCAATGTTGCCTTTGCTGGCTCTACGAAGGTTGAACGTATCCAGATCTCATCCTCATTCCTGATACCACAACACCATTGAGCTGTGCAGGAGAAGCTGTGGGGCTTTCTTTTCTCAGTGAGGAAAGACCCAAACCCCATGACCTAATGCCATCATCACAGCTGGGTTCCATGCAGCATGTACAGGAAAGAGGCCAAATACCCCAGAATCAGTACATGGCTTCCTTACCACCTGGAGGTTATCGGAAACGGCATCAAGGACTCCATCTCTGTTAAGAAGTCAGCACTTAGCTGTGAGCTACTACACCTCAGAGAGTCCCCTCCAGGACTCTGTGATTCATGTGGGTCCTTTCCAAGTCAGGATATTCTGTGATTCAATGACTCTGTGAAACAGTACTGGAGGAATCTCTACCTGTTGCTTCATCTAGTAGTTTTCTGCCAGAAATAAGCAAATCATTATTTTTCACTAGCCTAAAATCAGTACGCGATTAAGTACATATATGAATATAAGGTTCCAATCTGTTTATTTCACCTCTTTACCCAGAGAAAGCCCTGAGAAGAGCATTAAAGCCAGAGGCCAGCTGGGCCAACTGAAATGTTCACAGCTGACTGCAGCACAGCACTCACTTGCAGGCAAAGAAAATAACCTACTGCACCAGAAAGAGAAAAATGAAATAACCAAGGCCCACCAGCCACTGCTGAGCCTGAATCTCTCCCTTTTCACATTCTCTCATACTATCTTGTACCACAGAAAACACAAACCCTTGGAGCCCTGCACATGATTCCACAGCCAGGTGGCACACCTTGAAGACAAGAGAAGTAACACGTGGGTCAGTCAGCTGTACAGTGGTTTGTGTCCTTAGCAGGTGCTTCAGTGTCAAAGATATTAAACTCAGTTATTTTCAGCTCTGTGCCAAGAACCGAAAAGGCCTGTTCTTCCTTCTCTACCCCCATTCTAATTAAGTTTATAGGCAAGGACTATCAGCTAGGCTGAGGGTTGAGCTGTCAAGTTAGGAGAGAAACGCCAGCAAGGCAAAACCTGCCAGCTGGAAAGACAGAGTTTCTGATGGTGGCTGTACTTTCTGAAAATTATCTCTCCAGTCTCATTTTTCATATGTTTCTCAATATATCTCATCTTTCTCTCTGTCTCTCACATACCCAGGTGCACACAGGCACATGTGAGTTATGTGCTATAGCGTCTTGCTTTGGTGGATTGCCTCTGTCTATATCAAAATATATATAATACAGCTAAGGGCTCTATCCTTCTTCCAACTACCTCAGTGTAATGCAGACTTCATCTCAGATGATTTGACTCTAGACACAGGCTGTTCTGATTTTCAGCAGGAACTGGCAAGACCATATCTGCAAATCATCCCTGCACACATCTATGTGCTTGTTCCTTAGTACAGCAATTATTGGGTTAATTGAAGTAGAATCTCTACAATTAGTCAACCTTCTCAACAACCCTAGAGTGAAGTAACTCGTACCTTTGGAAAGGGTAGCTGAGATGCAAGAATAATGAACCATTGATTAAGATCTTGAAAATATTTAGGAGCAGAGTTAGATTTCAGCCCCGAGAACGGCGGATCATTGCCCTCTCTGGAGCACCTCATGGAACGGGGCCCCCAGCAGGCATTGCTGGCTGCCACATGTGCTGCTTTCCTCCTGGCAGAAACAAAAAAATCTTTTCTATTTTTTTGCGAGGTCTTTGATTCAAATCTTTCTCAAGCCAATATAGTAAAGTCCAAATTCTCTTCTGTTAGATCCTGATAAACAATGGGGGCATTTGAACTTATAAGTGTGAAATGTAAAAACCCATCAACCTTAAGGCAACAATTAGCAGAGGCAGAGAAACAATTCTCAGTGTAGTGCCTTACTACTGGACCTGGCTGCATCACTGTATCCCATGCAATTCAGAGCTGGAAAATGCATCATCGTGATAATCATCACAATCCAGCTTAATCTAGAGCACTTAGCACATCTACTTTAGTATTTACCAAGGAAATTGGCAAATCTCCCTCTTGAGATGGAGAAGTAAGGACAGTGCTGGAAGTGCCATGGACTATGAGAAGCACTGGCTTTCAGTCCTAGTGGGTTTGCAGCTCTCATTTGATGTTGCTGTGACTGCATGGTGTAAAGTTGACTCAGATTCCGAACCTCATCTGTCATCAGATTTGTTGCACCTCCTACAGCTTTTTACTTTACATCCAGGGTTTACTCAGGCCTCAGTTCCAAATGACCTCTGTGAGACTGGCTGACACTATAGCAATCCAGAGGCACCTGCACCAAAAGGCATAAGGCCCTAGCATCTGTGTTATATTCCCTTTCTCCTGTTGAATTGTCCTTCAGGACTTCACCTGGTCTGAACATGCAAGTTCAACAAACTGGAGGATGATGTGATCTGATTACTACATCTCCTAGATCTGCCATTGCACTGCAAAGCCCAAAATGGAGTCCCAGACTTTTCATAAGGAAAACTCCTTCAACCAATCCCGCTAACACTGTGATGCTGAAGAGTTTCCCAAAATTACAAAAAAAAATCAGACAAGGCTGAAGGAAAAGAGATACAAGAACTGAGTGGTAAAAAGCTTCTTAGGCAGATAGCAGAACAGGGAACCTGCAGAAGGAGTGTCTATACAAGATGTGGGGCAGAGGGAAGATGGGGCCCTTTGGAAGTTGAGCAGCAGATCTTTCCTGCTACTACTCTGTTTTGCAAAAAATAAAAATAAAAATAAAAATAAAAATAAAAATAAAAATAAAAATAAAAATAAAAATAAAAATAAAAATAAAAAGTAGGGTTGGAATGGCACGGTTGCATGGATGGCATGGTTAGAAAGTCTTCCTTTAAGCATTACTGATAGGCAGGACAGAGAATGAGGTTCATGTGATGCACTGATACCCTATTTAAGTAAAATCAAAAGACTGAGGATCAGGGGGCAGTTTAGATCTCCTCATGAATGACTGAGGTTTAAGATGCTCTGTGATACAATCTGGACAATCTATCATCTCTTTCCCCCCCACAGAGAGGATAATTAACATGGTAAAATGCAGGAGGCTCAGTGCACCCCTTTCTGATGTCAGGGGCCCATTTTAAGGTCAATGATTGAAATGCTCCAATGGTGTCAGCTGAGCTTTTGCATCCGTTGCTAGGATTTTACTCACCAAGGACTCTTAAGGTGATGTATGTTCATTAGTTTACAGGAAGATATAATTACCCATCCAAACTGCACCATGTTTCATTTGCTACTAACCTTCTGATTCACCTAGGTAGGTGGCAATGAGTGCATTTGCTAACTGGTGATTACCAAATTAGTTGCATGATAAACCTTTTTCAACATACCTTTTAGGGGAAAAAAAAAAAGCAAAATGAGTAATGAGTTGATCTTTTCCTTCAGCATGCCATAATTTTTATTCATTTAACTTGAGCCAATTTATTAGGGGAGAGAGGGAGAGAGCTTGTGTTCCTTTGCACTTGCATTGCAGAAGAGACAAACAAAGGGAAAATTTCTGAATGTGGTTATATTTAAAAACTCACATTAATTATAAACCCACATACTCTTTGTAAAGGCAGGGGCTACAGCCTGGCTGGGGGAGGGAATAGGGGGTCATGTATAAATTGTCTCCCAAGGACCCCACTGAAATTTCCATAGCGTTCACCATATGACACTGATGTGTGAAAATTGACATGAAGATTTGAAAATTGGGACCGAGGGAGACCAAGCATAAAATAACTTCAATTTTGCGCTTTCTCTGTCTCTCGGAGGAATAGTGCAGTGGACTGACCAACACAACACAAACAAGCCAAGAGGAGAGAAAAAAAATATTCAGGGAGAAGGATAGGAGTTATTAAAGAGAAAACACACTCCTCACTCACTGAGAGAAAGGATGATCAATGGATTTAGTCACAGAGAAATTCAAGCAGAAAATTGCTGCTGTTTTTTATCGGAGAGGCAGAAAGTTTAACCAAACCAGAATTCTCTCGACTCACTCCTAGGCAAACAGTGAAAAAAACAGAGCTTTGTGAAATGGTAGAAGTGAGTGTTTGTGCGCGTGTGTGTATATTTTTGAGTGTGATTTTACAGTTTTATGATGCCAAATGAATTGTTATACAGAGCCCTCACCTCCAGAAGTCTGCGACTGGGAAGATTTTATAAGGTGTTTATAATCTGCCATGAGATTGAAAATCCCAGCAAAATTAGAAAGCCAACCCCATCTAGTGTGAATAGCCATCAGATGGAGTCACTGCACTCAGCTGCTAACACACAAGTCCTATTCCTTCTTCAGAATGAGGGCAAACACGTAAAATCACCAATAATAGATCAGGATAAGTAGCAAAACATTTGAAAACTAAATGTTCTTGCTGTGCCTCCTGTACTAAAGGGTTAAACATTTTATTCTGGGAAAATTGGCACTGTTTTAAAATGCTATATACTTTCTCTCAGTTTCTTCTCTTTGGGATGCTCTGTGGTGCTGAGTGCAGCTTTTTTGAACTGAATTTTGGCATTCTGGAGGCTCTTGCTGGCACTTCTGCTTACACAAAATCAAGTAAGTCTTGGGACTTGCTGCTAGTGGTTCCCAAACCAGATCATTATGCAAAGGCAGGAGGTACCAAAGCATCACTGAACTGTGGAAATAACAGCATACTTCATCTCCTGGAGTTTAACTGCTATTCTGGGAATAGATGTCCATAATTTTCTTTGCACTGGTTAGCTGTTCAATAGTTCACATCCTCAGATTATTGGTCAAAATGCCTACCAGACTTGGAAACACTCTTTAGGCTCTCAGCAGGACCATCCAACACTACAGCACTGTGATGTGGACAGACATACATCCTATATGTAAACCCATGGATATTTCTTAAAACCTAGACCTGTTATAAGCCGCATCTTAAGAAAACACATCTGTGCAATCTGTTCTAAGTAGGTACTCAGCACTCACCATCACCACTATTGCAGAAGTTCTATCATGTTCCTTCTGCTGCCATTTTCCTTTGTGGATCACAAGTTGCTTGCTATTCTCTGTTACCCCAAAGACCTCTGTAAGACAATGGAGATTTAAGTCAGTACAATTTTGTTGTGGAAGAAAGGCTGTGAATGTAGATAGATACAAATTGTAGACTGCTTTAGCTCTAAAACCTGTTGTTCTGTAGTTCTGTAGGTCTTAATATCATTCTCAGTCAGAGAGGTTGCACTGTACAGTTGAACACTGAACACTCTACTGCCTCACCAGACAATTTTTCTCAAGCTTACTTATTTTATTTAGCACATAAGGTTCCTTGTGCTTGCGGATATGATGAGCTACAGGACCGGTGTTCACATGCTATGGATTTCATTTATTACAAAGTGTAGTATAAAATAATGAAAAATAGCTCCAGCCATTCCTTCTCTCTCCAGGGTATCTCAGCACCCCTATGGATGACCGCACACATAGTCAGCTCCATAGAAACAAATGGAGAGGAAACGGCACTGCACTGCTCAAAGCTGGAGGACTGCGCTGGACTGGAAGCATACTTCATCCATAGCTTCTATTGAAGGTTTATTACAGAGGCCACTGGAAAGAAAACAAAAAAACATTTATATTTTGGGGGGAAAAGATGGGCCTTATAGGTACTGGAGAGCAGGCAGAAAGGAGAATTCTCTATTACAAAGGTCTTTAGGAAGTATTTATCAATAAACGCCTTGAGGTGTTTCCAATAGCTCCAAATGGAGAATACTCTACGACTCATAGACTGACTAACACAAGAGCTGCCCGTCATTGACTCTTAATGCTCTACGGAGCATGAAAACAATGGCAGGAAAACAATATGAAAAGGCCTTGCAGGTAATTTCACAGGGTAACAAGGAAAGCCAGGCTCATTCTAATTGCTGACACTATGGACATTTAAATGAAACTTGTTCTTTATAACATGCCTGATATAGAAATGCAGCATTAGATGCCTTTTATGTGCCCTCATTCCATTTGTTAGTTGCACTCAGAATATGTTTTTGGGTTTATTTTTGTAACTAGGAAAATTGGAACACCACATAAAAACAAACAAACTTGAAATTCTTCCAATGATCCCTTCATTCCAGTAGCTGAGGCTTTAAGGAATGCCATGAGAAAACTGCAAGAATTAATAATAGTAGCAATAAAGCAACAATAGTAATTACTATTATAGTAATAATAATGTTTTCTTTTTAATATTACATGAACCAAAAATAAGATGCAAGTCCACATTTCATTGTTTTCTTTTATGAGCCTGCTATAATACACTGGCTGTGAGACAGCACTGCCTTGAAATACCGTTTGGTACTGTGTGTCAAAGAACCTATCTTTTATTTATATACTTAAAGCTGTTTGCAACCTGCCTTGAACGTGGCAAGGTTGATGCCATCTCCCTTTTAATGAACTCACATTGCCGAGTTACTTTTAATTCACAAACTGTGAGAACAGAATTTGGCAAAATACTTTTACACCACCCAAGGAGTCATTCTGAGGACAAATTTTCTGATATCAGGGTGTCCTCTGTCCTCTGTCTTGTGTTGATGTTTGCATTTCAAATACTCTTCAAAGTACTTGAATTTCTCACCTTTAGATCCTTCTTGATCTGTGTATGACCTTTATGGTTTCTTTCCTCTAAAAGGCCTGCTTCTTCCAATAAAAAGGTGATTTTTAAAAGAATTTGTCTTTATTAGTATATAATCATTGTATAGATTGCATCAAATGCTTTAGAACATACATGAAAAACACTCTTAGCTTTTCACACGCAGTTAGGAGATAGTCGTCTCTCTGTGAAGTTTGAGATGAAATATTCAAATGCAAGAGGAAAAAAACTATATCGCCTACCTTAAAAAGGTCTTCAGAAACCTGCTGGGAAGAGTGTGAAGAGGAAAGATAGGAATGATACACCACCATTTTTGAGAAAGGATGGGATAATCCCATTGGTTACTACTATGCCGTTGTGTTTTCAAGGTTACTTTCAACTCCAGAGCAAATAGTTTGCAAGCTGTCCTGAAGATTTAGCTAGAAAAGAGAGATTCTTAGAAGTGAAAAAAGAGAGTCATAGGCCACTGGGTGCTGTGTAATTGGCACTCAGCCCCAGTCACAGAGGTAGGAGCTACATCCAAGCTTTCTCCATGTTGGAAGTAGGGAATATATTGAAGTTGGAGGCAGTTTGGTGAAAGCTCATTTGGACTACGCAGTTCTGTAAAAATGAAACCACTTTACATACAGCTTCAAAAGTAAGGTTGGAAGCACCAAGTCCCCACAGTTCTGAAATGTTCTATTTAAACAGCATGGAAATTCAGTAGCTTGATTCTTGTGTTTTACTTCAGTTTTTATTTTTTACAAAAGCATCTACATATCTACATTAATGTAGATCTTGCCATATCAGTGTAAAATTACTTTAAAAGCAAAAAAAATCAAAATAAAACAGTAGTCGAAGGAAAGGTAACCTTAACCTTCAGATATCTCAGAAGAAATTATTTTGCCAAGGGGGGATCTGCAGTGGGTTAATCAGCCTTTTGCAGAAAGTGCAGGAAGAAAAATCTCTGACTAATCTCAAAGTACTTGTCATGGGTAAAATCATCAAAATGTATAGAAGAAACAACACTTTTTAGTTTGAATGCATCACATTTTTTACAGACAGAAAAGACTTCCTAAGGACATTCTTGCTATCTTAAATCCCTCAATCTTGCTCAGTGTCATTTCTGAATGAAACCATTGTTGAGGCAACACTGAGTTGAATAGCTCCATCAACCTTCTTTAATTTTCTTGGAGATTATGGGAAAACCTCTATAAATCACTTTTATGACCTCATGAAAAACTTGCAGTTGTATGGCAACACTTGCATGAATTATGAGATAGCCACAACAAGGACCAAAGATGTCAAGGATGCCAAAGCAAAGCTTTTTGTACCCTGGGACATGGCATTGCATTCCTCAAATCTGCTGTTGGCTGAAACACCAAAGGCAGACATGGAATCTAAACTTCTCTCTGTCTCCTAAATGCAAGGTAGGGGTTTGGAAAAGCTGGGAAGGCACCGTTAAAATAGCCTTGAGAAGGGTCATTAGTCTGAAGATGTAGCAATTTAATTCCTCATTAGCATTATAAATTAAGCAGAATATACACATGAAAAAAATACAACAAAAAAATTCCAACATCATATACTTTGTGAAAAAAAGAATGCAGGAAAAATGCTCTTTTTTTTCCTTTAAAAAAAGAAAAAAATCCTTTGAAGTTTACACAGTATCTTTTGCTGAGAGACTTCATGCAGTTCCAGTGATTTAGTATCACGCAATAGACTTCCAGTTGGTCTTTCTTGGAATTCCTTCTCAATTACCATGATCTCACACAGTGTTTTGCTCCCATGTGTTGAAATCAAAAGTCCCAATCCAAGAATCACCGGGCTTTATGAAATTTCATGGTACTGGAAACCTAAAGCAAAGCCTAAATTTTGCAACTTTTAGATGATAAACTGAGAGACAAACACCTGGAGTGTGTTAGAGCTAGAGACAATTGTACACGTACTAACTAAAAGTTATGTGATTCCAACAGCACTGAAACACTTCGTAGCAACAAATTGATTTTGTCAGCACTACTTTCTGGAGGAAAATTGCAAGAAAGGTTCTGGCTGTGCTAGAGAACCCAGGCCAAATTTTCTGAGAGGACACAACAATATTTGGCCTTGTGCTTTAATTTTCTACCATATACTAGATAATTAAAAAAAAAAAAAAAAAAAAAGTGAAATATTCTAGTTTTGTCAAAATATTTTTTTTTTTTTATTGACACTAAATGAATCTTGAGATATTTCCTGGCAAGTGTACTGAATGTTTCAATTGTCACCCGCATTCAGAGCAGAGTCAGACTCCCAAATCTCCCCCCACTGCTACTGAATAAAATGTTTATCCTCTATCAATGGCAGCAACGTTCTGTTTAGGCAACCCAAACATAACCCCTTGGTGAGTTCCCAGAATAGAAATGGCAGAAGGTCCTGGGTTCAGCCTGAGTGAGCTTTGGCCAGGCTGACATACTCTCACCTCCTTCTGTCCCCCACACCCCAGTGGGGAGGCCACAAATGTCACTCTGAGGCACCCCTTGGGATGGATATTATTGATGTTCTGCTGGCCGTGCTACAGCAAAGTGTCCTGCAGCTGCAGTAAGATGTGGAAAGCAGATTTGCTCTCCCGTTTGATTTCCACTTTCTCTCCTTCCTTCTCTCACTTTGGATAACTCTGTGACTTCTCTTGCACCTTAGAAGTTTTAGTTTGGGATAGAAGCAGCCATTGGATATGAGGAACTGGGGCTCTGTGTTGTGATTCAGACAAGCCCATATTCCATTTTTTTAACTGGTCTTGGCACCTCTCTTTGGAACAGAGAGCTGAGATGATACGCTTTCTGCTTTCTCCATTCCTGAGGTCTGCTCACACTGCTATTTCCCCTAATCCTCTTGCCCAGGCCCTGCTGTTTGAGCCAATTCCCTGAGCTTCTTCTCTCTCTTTTTCCCCCTGCCATTATTCCAGGTGGTTACCCATCCCATTTCACTTACTTCAGAGTGTCACCAGGTTGCTGCCAAAATCTCTTCTGTTTTCTCTCCCGTTGTGTTCACTCTTTCTCTTTTTTTAACTTTTAATCTCAGCCCTGGGTGAGGTGCACTGAGCAGTCATGATGAAGCTTTCAGGATGTTAGAAAGTAAACTGCTGGAAGAGGTCAGCGAGAGCAAAAACCAATAAAGCACAAGAAAGAAGTTTGATACATACGAACAAAGCAATTGGTAATGATGTGAAATAGTTGGGTCAACCAAGGGCTGTGCACAAATGAAAAGATTCACCTCCAAACACCTGAAAAGTTTACCTAACCTGCTTTTCCTTGACAGGAGTTAGTCTGTTGCCATGAACCACCGCTAACAGCTTTACACCTTATGTTTATTTGCACATCTCCAGGCATAGATGAGCATCTGGCCATCAGCAGCAGGGTGGATTCTTCTTTCAAAAGAAGCTCCTTAAATCCTATAAGCCTCCTGGCTTCCTTTTCTCTTCCATTCATTGCTGCGTATTACCTGAAAAGTGTGATTTAAGGCCAGGTTTTCAATATTCTCTCTTAGCACCAGAAAAACTGTTGAATTCAAAGGGGTGGCCTCTGATGTATGGGATTGTTCAGTGTAGAGGTGGCCTCCTTGAGCTCCTACTTCATCGGGCAGCCATCAGATAGCGTAGCTCTCATTAAGGAGGGCAAAATTCCCTATTTGCCAGGCAGGGAAGGTTTGCCTACAAAAGGACGGTGATTTTTGAGATACATTTCACTTCCGGATTTCACAGTTTTACCCATGGGGAAAAAAAATAAAAGAAAGAAAGAAAAAAAAAAAAAAAACAAGAAAGAGAGAAAGAGAGAGAATTGTCAGCTCAGATTTTCCAATTTTCATGCTTAGAAAAAGCAAAGTTTTTTTTAAACTATGCGATGAAAATCAATATCAAGAGTGGTAGCCACAGTATATTAGAGACTATCTCCCTCCTTTTCTCTCTTTCTAAGCTACTGGCTTAGAAAGATGGGAAATATTTTCCTTCCTTTGGTGCTTGCAAGCTGAGACCCTCTGACTCTGCTCTCAGTATGACTCCAGAGGGTAATTAAATGAAATAATATCTTTTGTGGAATTATATTTTCATAAAATTCCTTAGAAAGTACAGAACTTTCTGTTGTTTCGTCTGTCTCAGTGTCATTGCTAGCATACAAGGAAGCACACTGACACTTTCATGATAGCTGTGGTACAATGACCTGAAGGGAACAAAATCCTAGTGCCTTGCTCAGATGGCCAATTCAACATGATTTTTCCCTGCTCTGGGAAGTCAGCCAGACTGCCAGCTGCAGCCCATGCCACCCCTTGTTGGACCTGGAGGGCTCTTTCTTAGACCTCAATGAGAGCAGCCTTTATTAAAAGGAGAATTACAGTATTAATAGGAATTTTTTTTTTTTCCTAATGACAAAGAACTCAATTTCTTCATACTTGGAAGTGGTTTTATACCCAACAATGCCAATCTCAATATTATCTCAGATGGGTACTTGTTCCCTGGAGGCCCTTAGGGGAATGACCTTATGTCCCTTACCTTTGATAAAGCACTGCTTGCATGCATATAATTCAATTAACATCATCAGCTTATGCTAATTTTGAATTTAGATGGCATGCTGGAAATAAACAGGAGTGTTTATGTCTGTCTAGAAAGAAAACACAATGACAAGCTTCCCTCCTCCATGCCATACACACCGCTATACCCACACCAGTCTGCACGCACACTGCAATCCGGCCAGCCCCTGCCCTGAGAGAAGCCTTCATTTAGCTGCCTGTGCTCCCTCCATTTCCTAGGGGGATTTGGACAAGCAGAGCAGCCAAAATAACACAGAGTGACACATAAACATCCTTTGTCAACCATTTACTCCTTGCTCTACTCCTCTGCCTGTCGCATTCCTGATTTTGTTGGTTATTTTTCTGGCGTTGGTTTCTTTAATTTAGGGTGCTCTACAGATTGTGGGCTACAAGGATGGCAAGGAAAATACATTTAGAAGTGGAAAGGATTACCCAAACCAGGAAGAGTACTTCATTTAGCATAGCCTGGCTGTCCATAAGAAAAGGCATGTCCCAGCCTCCCCCAGCCCACTGCAGAGCACAACTTACATGAGGAGAGGTCGAGAGCCGTGTTGACATACCAGGTCCCAACAACAGCAGGGAGTGTGGTTGTGAACACATCCAGGAGGGAGACCAAGCCTTAAATCACAGAAGATGAAAGAAGCAGCCTTTGTGATCAGATGGAGGGAAAGAATTCCTTCCTGACTTCATCCTTAGCAATCAGGTGAGCAGCTCCTACGCAGCCATAGCAAGCAGACACACGAGGAGCTGTAAGGTCTTACAGGTTCATCAGCAGGAGCTTCCCATGTTTCATCCGGGAGGATTTCCCTTGCCCAGGCTTTCTGTGTATCTGGGGATGAGCAGGGCAAAGTGTTGATTTTGAGGGTGCTGTTCAGAGAAAAAAAACACAGCAGTATATGACATGTCTTAGTGCGAGACATGCAGAACTCCGTGCTGGGAATTCATCAACTAGGGATAATTTTTATCTCTGATTAAAGCTGTGAGCAGCCACAACTCTTTGGCAGTTGACAGCTCTGGGCAAGGAATGGATATGGCAGAATTGTCTAAAATACAACTCAAGTTAATTTCCTTGGATCCTTCAGTTCTCATCAACATGGGCATTTTCTGACGATCTGATTTACTTACCAGCAGTGCCCAGTCATCTATGCCAAGGCAAAGAAAAACAGAGGACATATGCTGAAAAATTTGTAACATGGTCCCCTAATCAAGTGCTGGCTCCATCCTGTATCCTGTTATAAATTGTAATCTACATTGTGTCTACTGTACACACACCATTATTCTTTCCTCTGATGTTTCAAGCAGCTTTGTCTGATTGCATTTAAATACTTTTTTGAAGTCATTATTGGTTCTCCACTTATTTATATGTTGCAGGGCTTGGTGGTTATCTCTTTTTCTTATTAGGAGAGGGACTCAAGGTTACATTTATTCTTCATATCCAAGGAGCCAATTAACTTCCAGGCTCCCCCAATGCCATCTCAATAAATAGAGGCTGCTGTAGCCGTATTTCCTTCCAGAGGGAGACCAGGATGTTCAGCCAATTCTGAATCCACTCATAGCACTGTTTCATGGTTGAGATATTCAGAGGACAGTCTCCACTGGAGAACTGAGCCCTTCTCTGACTGCTGTGTGAGCCAATTTCTTCATCATGTTTCTATTATTCTCAGAGTATCTGCATATTCCTGCCCAAAGGAAACTCATTTCTGAGCAATATTATGTTGAGTATCTTTTGTTGGAGGTGGGGGACATGAAGGGTTTTTTCTTAAGGTTTGACAATAAAATACGCTCTCATTTTTTCCTCCTGTAGCCTCCTTACTTCTCCCTACAAATCCACAAAACACCCTTAAGATTATTTACCTTACATTTAGAACAGCTATGGGTTAGACTGGCCACTGTGCTCTCTGGAGCAAAGAATTAAAACACCAATAGCGGCTTTCATGGGAACAGCTGTCCTAGAAAGAGAGAGCACCTGGGGCACAACCCCTCCATAAATAGTGTGGCTCCAACCCTCTTAAATATCCTGAGTAAGCCTCACTAGGAGTTGTGGGGAGCCATTACATATGCTTAAGTCCATATATACCACCAAAATTAAACTTCCTCTCTGCCTGGGGGCAGAGGAATGGTGCCAGTATCAGGCCCTTGTTGAAGTTGGCAAACTGATGGGGGCAGCAACATTTATGGTGATCTCTGCCTTGATGCGTGGCAGTGCACTGCGCCTCGTCTCACTTTCTGCAAGCCCTTTTTTTCTATCCTTGAAGGCGAGGCCGTTCAGGTGGCTGCGTTCCCTGGGACAGGGAGAGTTATGTGACTGAAAGTTGGCTGAGCCCTGCCGTGGCATTGTGCCGTCCCAGCTGGCAGCACTACATCATCCATGCGGTGCCAGCCGGGATCAACCAGGAGTCAAGGTCAGGAAGGCAATGTAAGGGGAGCCAGCGCCACGTGGAGCAGCTCAGAGAGGATGTTGTGAGTGTGGGACTACCCAGCTATGGCTGTGAAACTCTGTAAGGGGAAAAAAAAGATCCAGCTTCACACAAAAAAGTGCCATTTTGGTTGAACTACAAATGAAACCCAGGCTGAACTGAAAGGCAAAGAGGGTCACAATGGGTGGCTGTGACGAACACACAGTGAAGGATGGAGTGCCAAATCTTGCCAAGAAGGGGCAAAAAATAAAAGCTCCATTTGTGAACCTAATTGGCGCGTGACACAAATGTGGTAGCAGTAGTTGAGCCATCCCATCTGGCACTTCTTATTAATCAAAAGACTCTAAAGCCAAGGAAACCTCCAAAAATATCTATCAACAGGAGCTGAGAAAGGGAGAACGTAAGGCAACCCTAACTGTGTCTCCAGAGGATGTGCTTGATGCTAACAGGTGGCAATGAACACTGCGTGATTTAGAGCTCAGAGGGGAATAGGAATCTGAAAGATCAAATATCATTCCAAAACACAGCCAAGCTTCATGACCTAAATATTTGAGCTCTGAGTCTTCCAGGACAGACGTGAATTTGAAAATGGGGGAGAGGAAATGGTTATATCAGCTCCAGCTCAGCATTTCTTGCCTTAAAATCATGTTGGCTTTCAAATAGTTACAAAAGAAATGGCTAGCTCACCTGACATGCATACTTTCTGCAGAACACAAAAAAATACAAAGAAAACCCTCTTTTGTTCAGATGCTAGACTTACTGAAACCCACTTCTTTCTTCCAATAGCACCTAGCATCCCTGACCCATTAAGTTGCGATAACATCCACACTCATACCCTGTATGAGGGTTGATTGGATGGTGACTGGCAGAAGGTCTACAAGTGATTTATGAATACGATTCAGCAGTGCTCGTCAATATGCCTTATGAACAGCCTGCTTCCTTGAATTGCAGTAGGCATCTTTTCTACAAAGATGCACACGGGTCTCAAGTGCATTGCAGGCAGCAAGAGCTCTGCAAGACAGCAGCGAAGTGAGGAGAAGGAGTTCAGAAAAGGAAGCAGAAGCTCTGGAGGAGAGAAAAATAATTTGCCCAAGAAGTCATAAGACTGAAGCTCAGCAATGGAAGAAGCTTGCTGTTTTGGCAAAATCTTGCCTGGATTTTGCCACTGGAAAATACTGGAGGACTCCCTTAACTCTGTATCTGTTATCTTTATCTCTTCCAGAAAGGTAACTGGAAAAGAGTTTATGCACCCCATAGTCAATATTAAGCAGCAATATTAGCTATCACGGGCTCTCCTGGTAAATGGGGTCTGAACTGGTCTGACAAAGATTACAAGTGGAGGCTGCAGAGAGTGGAGAAGGATTTGTTTGCTTTCTCTATTGTGTCAGAACGAGCCCTGTGAAAAGAGGACGGTGCAGCTTTAATAATAAAAAAAAAAAATGAAAGAAGGAAAGAAAGAAAAAAAGAAAGAAAGGTGCCTCAGTTGTCTCGGCAGCTGATCAACAAAGGAGCAGTCGTGAGCTGTAACCTCTTGGAGCTGCAGTCTGGAACATGACACATGTCAGGCTATGATAAATGGTGCGGAGTGTGTGCAATTTCAAGCGCAATGCCCTTGAGATGCTCAGGACCCCGATCGCAAATGTTATTGTTAAATTAAACCTTAAAGGAAGGATTGGAAAGGGGAGGGGTGGGTTTGTGCGTGTATGTGCGTATGCGCGTGCGTGTGTGTATTTATTTCTATATGTATGGATGGATATACGAAGCACAGAAGAGATGGGAAAAGTGGCAAGGTGAAAAGAGGAAAACTTTGTATTTCTTTTAATTGAATTGTGCATCTCCTAGTTCTGGCTGAGCCATAGGAGAGAACTTCAGGTAGGGTTTTCTGTCCTACTGTCATTTTATTGCATTTGCTCCATCATAATTTAATAGCTAGAGATCAGCTAAAGTAAGCAACGGTAAGAATGAAAAACAAATAAATAAGCAGGTACAGTGCCACACATGCGCAGCTCATCTAGCTCAAGCATTCTGCATCCATGTATCTTTTAATGCAGATAAGTGGCTTGTTTCTTAGTTAGGCTGATTTCTGGCACGTATTTGTGAGGCAAACACACTTAAAAGATGCTCTCAGAAAGAGGGGTGGTGTTCACAGCCATAACTCACCTTGGGGAGCGTAGGCCTGGAGGCAGATTTCATCCCCAGCCAGTAGGTACAGCCCGAAGTTTGGAGCACACTACTTCTGTGGTACCAGCATCCTACTTTCCTCCTGTGATCTAAGCATCAGAGCTGGAACAGAAGCAGTAAATAGATGTTTTAAACAAGAAATTGAAATAATGCAAGTAGTGGAATAGAGAAGAAAACAGAATGATTGAGAGACAAAAATAAGCACTTTCACAACCTGAATAACCTTTTACTAGGAGAGGTGGTAAGGAAGGCTCAGTGATCCTTGCCCTCTGGCTTTTGTTTTAGGCAGGTGGAGTGGGGAGGGGGGACCACATCTCCTGAGCTCCCATCTCCTCCCTCTTGCTCCTTCCAGGGAACAAGATCCAACATACCTCCATGCTGAGGGTGTCTCTTATCACTCAGGACCTGGACTTTAACTTGCTCCTCTCTTCTATTCCTCCTGTCACTTATTTTATCACTTCAGCCTGTGTCGTGTTTCAGCTCATGCAGATTCCACAGAAGTCCTTCCTTTACCTTCTTGCCTTCCATATTCCCTCCCCCATAGCATCCGCGCTAAGTGCAATCACTGTAGGCAGTGCAGGAAGCACGGAACAGAATGGAGCTGAGTAAATGAGGAGGAGAACACGGAGGGGTGAGATATGGGGTGGGGGGTGCTGGAAAGTGTTCAAGGGGAAATGCTTGCATGACTCACATAACTGAAGAGAAAACAAGGCATATGAGCAACATAAACCCTCCACTGGAAACGAAGATGGGAAAAACCTTTAAATCATAATAAAAACTCAATTCAAACAAGCAGTAAAAAAATAAGAAAGAACTAGCTATGACTCATCAAGTAAGATACATTGTTTGCTCTAATTTCTACCAGACACAAGATAAACCCACTGGCCAGGAATGACCAGCATAAGAGAGTTCCGTGACCTACATAAAACACTTAAGACAAGGAGAAGAAGAAGAAGCCTGGCCTCTATCAGCTGTATCCATCTGCTTATTGCTCCTGGTTGCCTCTACAGTAGTTCCTTGGTTACTGCAGCCTTTAGGGTGACATGACAACATTGTAATCGAGGCCCAGATTTGGGAAATATAATGAAGGCAAAAAAAAGTGCATTAGAAACCAAAGTTCTAAGTATTATTATTTTTAGAAATCATCTTACAAACATCCTATGGCTTGTTTTGTGCTTTTTGGCTACCGTTGCCTAGCGTCCAGGAAAAGTCAAGTCCTTTTTCGGTTCTTTGGAACATTTTCCCCACGTTTTTTTTTATTAAAGAAAATAAACATTAGACAAAAGCAGACTTTATTGTAACTATAAATAATTCAATGCAGATGGATTCATGGAAAATACCAGCAGGCAGATTTTCAGAGAGAAAAAGAGGAAGATGGTGAAGAAAACAGAAAGGGTGAAGAGTCAAGAAACCACAAGTTGTCTTGAAAAGAATAGATACAAATAAGACAGTAACAAGTGATGGGTAAACGAAAATAAAGGTAACTTGGAAAGGCAACAGAATACGTTCGAAAAGTTCAGGTTTTTTAGTTATAAATATGGTTGTTTCCTAGTGCCACGGAAAAGAAGCCATTTACTGTTGGTCTAAGAAGAGATCCCTTTCATAATATCCCACAGTGATTTGTTATCTCATCTTCCCTTCTTTCTCTTTAGGAAACAATTTAGGAGACAATTGGCTGTTACTTCAAGATGATTACTGAACATCTATGTTCATGATGATTCTCACATCTAATACTTGCTTCATGTGACAACCCAGACTCAGGTGTGTGGCCAACTTTCTTTAGCAGCACACAGGAGTGCATTGCTCTGTTACGACCTTCTTCACAAGATCCTGTGGGCTCAGAATCCCAAGTGGTTTAAACAGATGGGTGATGGTACACCGACAGGTACCTGGGAAATAAGCTCTGTCAGTTGATAAAACTGTTCAGTACTCTGCCTCATCCTGGAAAAATGCCCTTTGCATTGCCTTCTCTCGAACTAACGGACAGTGGCCATTATTTTTCTAAGCTGCTAGAGCCCTTTAAAATACGGATAAAATACTGAGGAATTAATGGGAAGCTTGGAAATCCAAAGTCTACTTTCAACCCTGGAATCAGCCCACTAAGCAGCATAAATCTAGTTGTGCCACAGTCCAGGTGGAGGAATCTAAAAACAATTCTGAAGGGTATCAAAATGCTTTGAGACCCTAATGGAAGATAATGCCCAGATACAGTGCATCTGGTTCCATTCGTACACCTATCATCCAATACCTTTGTTCATATATGTGTTTATCCATACCCATCCAACACCTTCATCCAATACCTACTCATATATTTCACATAGAGTCCTCAAACTATTTAGTTTTTCTCTCTCCACCGCTTATTCATCTGAATAAACATCAGTACACAGCCATTGAAGTCAGAAGGTTCAGAAACACACTCAGGAACTCTGAAAACGTGGAGAAGTGAACTGATGGCAGAGAAAAACAAACAGAAAACTCCTGTTTTTCTGTTCAATAGTTAGGAGGAGTTGGTGAGGAAACGGGTGGTAGAAAGGAAGAAGGACATTCATAGAAGTGGAACAGCTTTGCTTGATTGCTAGAAAACTTTTCAAAACCATCGATTTTGCTGATGTTGCACAAGAGAAATGCAGTGGCTCCTTTAGGTATAAGTTCTAAAGGGCAAAGGTGAATAAAAACCTGTTAGGGACTAAGCTGGAATCACTGAAACCAGCACAATTCCAAAAAAACCCCAAACCAATGGATTATGGGAATACTTCTATGCACCATGTGAGACACACAGAGCTTGTTTGTGCAGACACTCTTTGGAAAGGGATTGTATTTTTGTGATGCATTTTGGCTTCTTCTGTGTTTGTTGTTTTGTGGGTTTTTTTGCAAAACCAAGTGGCAATGGATGCTGAAGCGGAAGGCAGAGGAGCTTTAGAACAGGTCTGTGAAGACAGCTAGGTCTGTGAAGACAGCTGGGTCTGTCTCTTCTTCTCAAGGTTGCTTTTGGGAAAAGCGCTGCAGTAGCAAGCTATCTTCTGCAAACACAAGGCATCAGGAGAGACAGAAAGAAAGGTTTGCAGGAAAGAGAACCACCCAGCTAGGGTGAAGAAAAGGCTTACTCTGGGCCTGTAAACATTTGAGAAACAAAAGTAGAAGCACAGGGAGAAATCATCTTGTCATTCTCTGCTTTGCTACACGCTGGGGGAACAGCACATTGTTCTCCAGCTGAACAATGCCCCGTTCCCACCAAGTGAGATTTTCTCTCAATGGGAAAAGAATGTGAGCTTTACTTTGCTTTATTATCAACTCTGTGCATGTGGAGATAACTGCACAGGCTGGTTGGTCTCTGAAAAGCAAAGATGCATTTTGATCAAAATTGGATTACTGGGCATTTCATTTCTCCTTAAGAATGGTTGTGAACTGATTTCTCATTTACTCAATATGCAAAAAAAATTAACAAAATAAGAACTGTCAAGACTGAATGATGATGTTGAAAAGAAAAATAAAGCCCCCAAAATTCCTGAAAAATAATTGGAATGAAGCAGCTCCAAGTCAGATTAGTCTTAAATCTTCTTATGATGAAGGTTCTTGCAACCAAAGGCAAGTTATTTCATTAGGCTGGTTCTGCATTTTTAATACCCGGTCTATCAATTTAATACAATATTTTTTGGTTATCAGGGGCAGCTTTTTATTGCTATATATTAACAATATTGCAATAGGGTTAGGAGCAGGAGTCCACAATCAAGGCAATCACAGAATTAAGTGCTTAGTCAAGTCCCAGTCGAACTGCGGTCAGATGGGTTAAAGGGAGATGGACAGAGCTGCCAATCCCAAAATACAACCCAGCCTTCAGTCCATCCTGCAGCCAAAGGAATAGCACTCTGTTGATTTTAGCAGACTCTGCAATGGAAAATATTTCTGTCCAAAACAAAATTGGCCTGTAATCCGGGTAAGCTATTCAGGGCAAACAGTGGCAAATTTAGCCCTTTCTCCTGTTTGTAAATCGTCCATGTACGGACTTTGTTTCTTTCAGTAGCTTTGCATGTATTCTTCTGACAAATACTATATATAGAAATATTTCAGCAGACTAGCAACACTGATTATGCCTTGTACTATCTGTGATAGATCAAGGTGATCACTGGTCCTCTAGGTTATGATGTGATTTAGCCACAAAGTCAATATGCAAAAATATTAGTTAAAGACATACTAAATCAGACCTTCATGAATTTTAAAGCACATGTCTGAAGCTCTTCCTCAATCTATTTACCAAATCAGTATGGCTGCTCCCAAATTAAAGTGCTGTGCCCCATAAGCAAGAACATCAAAGTTACAAGCCATCATAATCTTGCCTGTGCTAGTAAATAATAGCAGATTCAGCTGCAAAATAAAAGCAGCTTTGGGAGCTATATTATTAACATTTCCAAAAGTTTTCCTAATGATATCAACCTTTAGTTCAGGTTGCCCAGAGCAGTTGTGGTGCCCCATCCTGTTCAAGGCCAGATTGGATGGGGCCCTGGGTAGCCTGGTCTGGTGGTGGACAACCAGCCCACGGCAGGGGTTGGAACTGAGGGAGCTTTAAGGTCCCTTCCAACCAAAGACATTCATGATTCTATGATTCTCAAAGTAGCCCAGAATACCTGGTTGTAGATCCTGAGCTGAGCAAAGTGGCCTAGACTAACACAGATGCAACATAGATGTCCTCTTTATTTTGAAATGTTTTATATGCGTTTTGAAGGATTCTTAGTGATAATAAGGTTATAATAACCGAAAGAGAAATGTCTACACACATGCCAAACACCAGAGAGATCCTATATGTTTGCGTCAAATATGGAGGCAAATTCAATTCAAAGACTAGGAGGCTCAGCCTGATGGCACTGAAATCTTCAATGATATTTGCTAACCTGGGCTTTATTTATTTAAAAATTACAACTTAGTGACTTACAGGTTTCATTTCTCTAAGGGAAAACACCTGTGCAGATGACTGAAGGATATCCACATACTCATTAATACATTCAAGCAAAGGAAAAGTTGATCTATAATCACAAATAAACTATTACCTCTGAGATATCTGATTCTCAAGTATGTCAGGGAAAGGAAAGCCCTGCATGGGTCACATTGACTTCTCATCTCAACGTTTACTTACGTTTCTCCTCAGGAAGAAAACTTTTCTTGCTGATGTACCACTCTCTTGTAATAAAAAAAAAATAAAACAATCCCCTTCTGCCGACATTCCCTTCTGAGTCTGAGAACCTCTATTGTCTTTTCTCTGGTAATAAATGATAATAATTAAAGGCAAATACACAATAATTAGTCACACTAGGTTTATCCATCTGGCATACCTGTATCTCATCACTGTGTCTTTGAAACAGATGACAAGCACCATATTGCACAACATCCTGCTAATGGGTCCAAGCAGGGGAAAAGAAGGTAAAAGGGTTACCACAAAAAGAGGAAAAAAAAAAGAGAGAAAGTGAAAGAAAAAAAAAAAAAAAGGTCAGCAACAGGGAATGAGAACATTATAGACATTATACAGCAATGAAAAAATAGCCGTGGCTGACTGTCAAGTTGCAAACCACTTACTGGCAGACGTGCTTTCAAGCGGGGTTAGGAAAACATGGAAGTATGTCTCACTCTGCTTAAACTACCTCCTGCTCAAAATACCTTTACCTGACGTACCTAGTGTTGAAATGAGGAACATTTCCTGGAATATTTTAGCTGGCTATGCAGATGTATGAAGGAAAATGAGATACTTTAAGATCTTTGCTGGGACACCTGAAAGGTCTGGGTTTCGTTCAGAGGATTGTGTTAAGGACCAAGTAATCAGCTATTTTGGTCCCTCTTCACTGAAGGCTGATTGATGCACACCAGGAGTCCCTCCTCATCCCTATCAGGGCAGCAGAGCAAAATTAATATAGCAAAGAATTTTTCAACAAATATTTACTCCTTTAAAAAAATGATCAGACAAGGCTGGCATTTGATTTCTGGGAACTTCTGAGAAGCAGATTTACTTGTACAAATAATCACAGAGAGCCTATTTCAGTCACATGTATTCAGATTTCGATTAAACCTTCACAAATGCTTCACCTCTCAAACAAGCACAAGAAACTTGCATGCATTGAGGGCTGATTGCTGGTAATGACTTTCTGGTTGCAGTGCAGCCATGCCCAAGACAACTGTCATGGAGTTGGCCAAGCTATGTTACCTAGCTACACACACACAAAAAAACCATAAAAGCAAACAAAGGCGGTTCCTGGCCTAAGCCTTTACAATCTAGATATAAGACAAGCATCAAGTCATTTTGTGCTTCCCTGGATTTAGCCTGTCTGTCTGAGGCTTGCATAGCTGCAAGCTATCGGTTGGCAGAATAGCCAATCATATATCATGAGGTAAAACAAAAAATAAGTAGACCATTGGTAATTTATACCCATTACTCACCAAGGCTTCAAGGCAAAATCATGCTCTGGAAACATCAGGCTGCTCTGTTACCCTTGTTATGGGAGGGTTTACATCTGGCTAGGATTTAGGAAACATTTCAACAGGTTCTGTAGGTGTTATTGAGCCCAAAGTCATCCCAAGCTATAACATATCTGATGGGACTGCTAGCTGCTAGCTGTCCTTCATTGGGCATTCTGGTCTCAGGAAGACAATACTGTGGCGAACAAAGGCTGAACCTTACCTGTGTTTGTCTGTGCTCAAGCTTTCAGGGTTTGGTAAAAATACTCAGGCAAATTTGTTTTCATGCAGCAATTCCAGTACAATAGGAGCTCAGATCTAATGAAAGAAATCAGAAGAATTAAAGAAAGGAATGGAAAATGTGATGTACTCCTAGCACCCTACATCTGACCATACTGACAGGAGGAATGCCTCGCAAACTCTTTAGAAGG